GTCATCCCGTGAAGTAAACGTGTAATAATTCGCTGACGTGTAAAGTAGCTGGACTATTTTGTTTAATCCCATCAATCAAAGTAAATGAGCCCTGAATCTGCTGTGTGCACTTGGATTAGCATAGTAAATTTTGCACCCTTGTGGTTCTAAAACAAAGTTTATCCTTTTGGATCAAATGGACTAGTCATTTGGAACTTTCTTTTTTGCCAAACTGGAACGTTTCATTTTTATTTTTTCTATTGCTTGTGATAAATGCAACCCTTTTCGTGAGGACAGGATCGGCCTTCGACTAAGGTCCACGCGGCCCCAGGTGGAGGATCTTCCTTGGATTACCTTTTCGGAGGTGGCAGCAAGTAAACAAGTCCAAGCTTGTCAAAATTAATGAAGATGGATAAACATTGCTCGTTGTCTGTGTAGGCCCCATTTGGAAGTTTACGGGTAACAATATCTTCGTCTTTTTCTCTCGGGACATGTTGGGAATTGTAATGTGGTTTTAACTCTTTCTTGTGTTCTGAATCAAGATTTGTGCTGTGTGCACTAATTGCTTTCTTTATATGTACTGTTGTTAATGGAGATTTTTTCTTGTTACTGTTTGAAGTTAGCCAAATCATTGGTTAATGGTTTCACTGCATCAAATATGTTATGTAATAATGTGAATACTTGGTTATACTGTTTTTCATTTCGAAAAATGTGGCTGACAAACTTTGTTTGGGAGAAAAGTTAGGTTAGGTGCCCCTCTAGGTGGAAAAATCCGGCATTGATAGCTACTTTCGAGGTTGAAAAATGCATTGATGTGCACAAAAATCGAAAAAAAAAAGAAAAAAAGAAAACCGACCAAATTTTTACACGAACGTGCAAATTTCTATTTGAAATTTATATAGATCTACCTAGCGATTATTGCAACCTTTACATAATTGTTTCTTATTATATAGATCTCAATGCTGCAACATATCAAATTATATTTTGCATTGCAAACGATAAAACCCGTTTTTCCCCCCCTCTCCTGCATAAGTGAAATTTAACAATAGCCCCAATCTCAGCAAAGAGCCTCAGTTCTCAACAAAGCAAGTATGAGTTGAGCATAGTACTAGTCAAGTTTATGTAAATTTCTATTTGGTTTTTGTGATCGATCGAATGCAACCCAAACGAGCAGTATGATCAAGTTCAGAAGTTTGATGTGTAGGTATTGATTCTTTTGTTTCACTTTGACCATCCATTGTGAACTGAAATCTATATTTCGAGTAAGGGATTAAGGTAGGCCAAGAACAAAAATAATGGCTCATATTATCAACACTTCAAATAAAAACGAAGCAAATAAACGAAAAAAAAAGTTATCAACCGATTCTGGATTTGGCAAATTTACACTGAACATCACAATCCGAATAACTAGTATTGTGGACTTATAAACTAGTTTTTCAGTTATAAGTCACTTGTTATAAGTTATAAGTTCGAAAATTACTTACCTTATCAGATAGGTTTACCAAAACATATGTCGACTTCATACCAATTGCGAAGGAAATCACCACGTTTCAAAATTTCTAGGTTTAACTAAAAAATTTTAAGAAACTAAAGTCAATTTTGATATTCATGTCGACTGGCAACTTACATAATGAATGTTGGCTTCAAGCCTTCAATGGTTCCATCTATGGAGGCAAATTTTCAACTTCCACACCTTCATTTTTAAACATGTTTTTCAGAAAATAAACACATGTTGAGAAAACAAAAAATCCAAATTCAGAAACTGCAGAAAAATATTAATTGAGATATGATACTATGCTTATATTAGTTATATAGACAACAGATTCAGATCTCTTCATACTCATATTAAAATTTACATTTTATTTAATTCATCCCAGGTAACATAAGTTTTTGATTGAGGCAGTCGAACTATTAGTCGGATGGATCCGTTATACTGTATGAATAAAAACTAGTACAACACCCGTGTAAATACACGGGTGCTTGTTAAAAAATTATTCTTAAATTTTAAAATTAATGAGAAAAACTATTTAAATTTAGTTTACTTTTACCAAAAAAAAATATATTACTATATATTTTAGAATAATATGTGTTACTTATGACTTACATGTGTTATATTATATTAGTTTTTATAACTTATATCATATAACTACTTGAAATATAAATATATTGTTGATAAATAATTTTATTTTTTTAATTAATATTAAAAATAATTTTATTATTGTTATAAAGATAAATATAAATTATTCTTTTTTTACATACAATATGAATGTTAAATCGAAGTTCATCAAAAGAAGATTAATTTGATATATTACATATGTAAAACTGGTAAAAAATACAAAAGTAATTAACTTTTAAAATATATATAAAATTCAATAGTTGTAATAAGGAATGATATTAAAATGCAATTAATACATGTAATATGATCATAAATAATCAATATATTTATGGTAATCCGAACCTAATTATTTTTGGTTTGGAATTAAATTAAAATTTACCCAAGCCTAATAACGAAACATGTAATTTTGCCTCATAGGATTCCGAAGCACCAGAAGCAGCCACGTAGGCTCAGCGCGTTCTGGATTAATATATAAGGGGAAGGGGATATGTATTTATAGTGTCAAATGTTATACTTCTGTTTGTGTATAAATATATATTTAAGCATGTCATTTTCTAATAAAAGTATGCATATTTATAAAAAAAGTATGTTGACTTAATGTTTAGGTTGGTCAAATAGTACTTACACCTGAATAAATAACAATGCACTTATTTAGAAATTAGAGAATAGTTGATAACTGAACGAGTTACGAATTGTATTAGCTGGTTTGACTAGAAGATTTAATTAACAATATGTCAAATAAGCATTTGGCATAGAGCAAAAACTTATAACGGTTATATTATATTGTCTTTTTTAAAATTATCTCTTCTTACTAAACTTTTTTTTTGTGTTTTTTCATAATTAACGTTTTGATTAAAAAAACTAAACAAGTAGATTAGTGAATTTAATTAGTCAAATAGCTAAATGAAGTACAATTCATTAAATCTAATAAATATAATCAGCAAATCATATTAGGAAGTAAAAAAAATAATATTTTTAAAAAAAGGACAAAAAGTTGTAATATAATTTGCAGCTCTTTATGGGATTTGCTATGAGAGAGAGAGAGAGAGAGAGAGAGAGAGAGAGAGATAGAGAGAGAGAGAGCAGATGTTCTTCATATGGAGCTCTTATGAGATTTGCTCAAAATTGCTCGTTTAAAATCAAATGAGAATGAAGTGAAAAAAACCCATGTTCATAAACTCCACAAATCCCCAAATTCACCCCAAAGCTGACATTTTTCATGTGGGTTTGATTGATTGAGAGAGCTTTTTCCACGCAACAATTTGAATTGAATCGTGAGGCTTTTTTTTTTTTCAAGTTACTGCCGTTGATATTGATTGAGCTTTTCATGTGCCGTTTTTGTGCTCGGCGCTGTTGATTTGGTAGCGTGATTGTGGGCGATTGTTCGAGGTTTCTCTGCCGAAAAATAAAAAATCCGATTGGTTGATGGGCGGCGTTGGGTCGTTGATTTGACGCTTGAGCTGTTGAGGGTTCGGTTCGAAAGGTGCGGCGGCGGGCGGCCGACTTTCGGCGCCCGGTAAGACGGAGGTTCTCATGCTGGATCTGGGCGCTTCTGTTTTTGTTCTCGGCGGCGGCTTTTGTTCTGTTTGTTGTTCATCATAATTGTCAAGATGAGAATCGTGTGGAGCAACCTGTTCCGGTAAGGCTGAATATGTTATATACTGTGTGAACTGTGAATTGTGATTCAACTATCTCGATGGTTGCATGATGATCTAACGGTTACAAATCCCGAATGAAATGATTTCGTAACGGACCGTAGCAATTAATAATCCTATACAGCTGTTCTTGTTCTAAATTCGAGCTCAAGTATTTTCCTGACCAACATAAATAATACAGAAAGATATATTGATATTAGACTGCTTGCAGTGGTGACATTCTCTAATCCTCTAGCAGTTGGTTGTGCTTAAAGTATTTCTGTATGAATGGTTTTTGGAGCTCATTTAGTGTTTTTATTGTTTTTACCTGATTTTTCTTCAGGAGATTAATTCCATAAACGATCGGTTTGCTCACGAAAACCGCAATTTCACCGAACAAATACTCGACATCGCTAGCTCATACGCTCGGCAGTTAGCCGAGCAAATGGCTCTCGCCAAAGCATACCTCATAATCGCGAAAGAGCACAACAATCTCCATCTCGCTTGGGAGCTGGGCTGGCGAATAAGAAGTTGCCAGCTGTTGCTCTCTAAGGCCGCCATGCGGGATGACGATGAGCCCATCTCTCTAGAAGAAGCCGAGCCAATAATTAAACCCTCCATCCCTTATCTTCAAGGCGCAAGATTCACATTATGATATTGCCACAACTATAATGACGATGAAGTCTCATATACAGGCACTGGAAGAACGTGCAAACACGGCCAGTATTCAAGGTACGATTTTCGGGCAATTAGCTTCCGAGTCGATTCCCAAGAATATCGAGTGCATTAATATTAAGCTCACAGCCGAATGGCTCCAGAACAAATCTTTACAGCTTCTTTCGGACCAGCAGGAAAAAAAAATTTCTCCCCGGCTAGTGGACAATAATCTTTACCATTTATGTATATTTTCCGATAACCCACTAGCCGTTTCAGTTGTGGTCAACTCGACTGTTTCAAATGCCGAGCATCCAAAACAACTCGTTTTTCATGTCGTGACAAATGGGGTGAAGTACGGGGCCATGCAGGCTTGGTTTATATCAAACGATTTCAGAGGCGCCACAATCGAAGTTCAAAACATAGAAGAATTCACCTGGCTCGACCCGAAATATTTCCATAATAACCCGAAATACATCTCCCTTCTAAATCACCTCCGTTTTTACGTACCCGAAATTTACCCACAGGTAGAGAAGGTAATTTTCTTAGACGACGATATAGTGGTCCAAAAGGACTTGACCAAACTTTTCTCGCTCGACCTACACGGGAATGCGAACGGGGCAGTCGAGACGTGCCTCGAGGCTTTCCACCGATACTATAAACACCTCAACTTTTCGAACCCGATTATAAGCACCAAATTCGACCCTCAGGCATGTGGATGGGCCTTCGGCATGAACGTGTTCGATTTGATTGCTTGGAGGAGAGAAAACGTGATTTCAAGGTATCATTTTTGGGTGGAGAAGAATACGGATAGGTTGATTTGGAAGCTCGGGACACTCCCTCCCGGGCTTTTGACTTTTTACGGGTTGACCGAGCCGCTTGACCAGAGGTGGCACGTTTTGGGGTTGGGTTATGATATGAATATCGATAATCGGCTGATA